GGAGCCTTTCTGCAAGCTTCAGTAGTTAGGACAAGACCCATGGAAAGGTAAGAAGGTCAGAGCACGAAAGGTGAGAAGACGACCCCCAGCTTGAGGCCAAAGGCTGGATGTACCCCCGAAATTCAGTGCCAAGAGAAGCACCTCCCTGAGCTCCACCTGTCATGAATATGTATAGATAGATGTAATCATATGAATATGCCAGTAATCACATGTGTAAAACCGTATAAACCCCTTGATTTGTGTGGTGCCCTTGAGCGAGTCTGTGCAGGGCCGCCTGCCTCGCTCCCAGCGTTGCTTTGCAATTGTTGCCTAAAGAAAACTCAGGGAGGAAAAAAAAACTCAGAGGCAACTTAATATGGAGGTGAGGTAAGAAAAGGGTTTAACGGTGCCTCTGGGGCACTGAGGTTACAAGATGCGCAGCTCCGATCCAGTGTTACAATTTGATAACACTGTCTGTCCAATCCCGGATTTTATCCACCCCCCAGCCTTCACCCCGTCCACCCCCAGCGGGCCCCTTGGGAATTGGGTCTGGGGTCTTTTTGAGACCCTTTTCTTCATCACCTCAGTCTTCCTGGGAGTATGGAGGGCACACGGTCACACAGTTCTTGACTGTACCTTGCGGCTCAGGCCAGGGATTAGATGTTCTTAAACAGGAGAGGCCTACCTTGAGGGGAAGTCTAAGTATTCTAATGGAATTTAGGGGGGGTAATTGATGTGGGGAGCATGGAATGGGGTAAGAGGGTTGGGGAATGTGTATCTACTATGCTAAGGGTAAGGGTAAGGGAATAAATGCAGCTGGTTCTAAGACCTACATTTACTACAGAACTACTTCTAAAACTTATAAAAATTAGAAAAATCAAAAAGACCCTGAGGCATCACAGGGTCACTGTGATGAGCAACCTGGAATAGTGGAAGGTGTCCCTGCCTGTGGCAGGGGGTGGGACTGGATGAGCTTTAAGGTCCCTTCCAACCCAAACCATTCTGGGATTCTGTGATTCTAAATTCTATTTGGGAAAATGAAGGTCTGGTTAGACCCCCTTTCCTCTTCAAATGAGACCCATTTTTCTCTTTTTAATTACTGCTCAAATTAATCACTGCTCAAAGGATGCAAGGTGTTTGAGCAGTCCTTCCCGCCGAGTTTTTCGGCACCGGCAGCTCTGGTTTCCCCCTCGCAGCCATCCCCACCCGGTTC